TTTTTTAACGGAACTCCGATTTCAAAAACATCAGGGATACATTTTGAGATACCATAATGTAGTGCTTGACGAAATCCCGTTTGTCCAACCTCTCTGCTTTCAGAAATACGAGCCTCGAAGGAAAATTTTAAAAAAGAATATTTATAGACTTCATAAAATCAGTATTTGATTGTGGACAATAATTATACTCTAGCGTGACTGGAAATGATGTGCTTAAGAAAGCTGTTTATTACAATGGTTGAAAAACACCATAGGCTACAAAGTATGTTCTTTTCAGAACTAGAAAGTAAGACTATTTTTAGCACATGGGTCACATTTAGCTCACTTGGATCGCAATTGTGTTAAAATTAAATTTAGTCTAATAGCTCGTTAAAATGGCAATTGTAAAAGGTTCAAAGTGTTATGAGAAGGTTTATATTCAAAATTAAAATAGCACATGTCATGACGGCGTTCAGTTTTGTTGTATGCGCCTCTCAACTTCACATCAAATTTGCTGTATCGTGACATGAAACCGTAATCTGTTTTAATCGCAGCCGGCTCCACATATTTGACAAGTTTTTAAAGCCGGAAAAAGCTCAAATAAATATGATTTTCGGAGTCTGCGTGACTCTTCGTGCCGTGTCTTATCGTGTAGAGTAGAAATTCATCGCTTGTCTGAATGGTGTCGGTCTTCATAGAAAACAAGCAAAAAAAAAGCGGAAACAAAGAGAGGCACCGCACGTGTCCATTCATTGCCACCCACATCGCAAAAGAAGGAGAAAAAACAGTTACAATAGTTAAAGACGCGTTGAAGAATCCTTTGCCAACCCTTTTCGACAGTTTCCGCTGTAAAATTACCAGAACAATCATTTTTTGATGAAAAAAGTCCAGCGAAAACGTGCGTTTTGTTTGTACTTAAAAGGAAAGCATAAAAGCTACAATATAGTTGAAGTTGTTGAGTTTCAAGCAAAAATTTATAACCACAACGTCGCTGAGATATTCGCAAAACTCCGACCTCGAGCCTGCTCGAACCACGATTGCTTTTTCCGAGGGCTCGCGCATTACACACTGCCCCACGGATGCCAGTAATTTATACGTAACACTTTTTCAGGCTGTTGAATTGCCTATGAGAATCAATGAATGAAAAGCAATTTAGCGAAGTGTTATGAAATTATGTAGGCTTATTTATACTATTCTACTAAGTGTGTGCATCCATTTATTTGTTGTATGTATTAATTGAATAGTATAAAGGATAAAGCGCTGATCAATTCCTGAGGGATGCGCCATACATTCGACTTCATTCGGTATCGATGGAGGTGATTGAATGCATATTTGGCCTTTACAATGACTCGAGGTGGCTTACCGATGCATCTAGCCATTATTGCTATCCTCCCAGATAAGTCTGGTACCAATTTGCCGAACCCAGAGGGATGGCAGGCTTGGTGAGCCAACGGGCGCGGAGATCGCTCCCACGTGTATGTTGCAGGGCGCCACCTACCGCTGCACCACACGCGATGGCTTTAAGACGAATAAATACGTCACATAAAAACCGATTTTATTTGAAATACACTTTTGGAAAAAATAGTAGAAGACGGGAATAGTAAAACTATTCAAATACGATTGAAAGAAGCATATAGAATTAAACTTCTATTAAATTATATTAAAATATCATTCTTTAACTTCAGTGATGCTGAGATATTTGCAAAACTATGCCGGTCTTGTTTGACCCGTGTGGTGTGGTGGAGAACGCGCTACTCTCCGGAAAGAACAAAAGCGCGTTCATTCCTCACCACATACACCTGCGGTCCGGAGTTTTGCAAATATCTCAGCATTACTGAAATTATATTTCACAATGCCGTCATTTCCCCGCCGTTAAAAAGAGTAGGCAGTAAATAATAAGTTAAAATTATCACTCTTTAATAAGTATATTATTGTTTATTAGAAATATTACTTAATTCTATTAAAGATTAATATAGATTAGCCTAGAAAAGCCACCAAAAAAGCTTTACAGAGATAGCTTAATTTTTATTAATAACGTCGCTTTCCATTAAATTTTCGAGAGCAAAGGATGAGATTTCCCCTATGGTTTGACTGATCCCTTTACTAAACAGTAATTTGGCTTGTAGAAGTGAAATACTCTATCGGCAGATTACACCAGGGAGGTTTTTCTATTCTTTTTGTTCTTCTTCGACGTAAACGATTCTAGTGGTATTGTTGACAAAAGCGGAAACTGAATCACATGAGCGACGAATGTCTGAGGCGAGAAACCAAAACTGACTCACTCACCGTGAACTCTGTTCTGGAGTTAATGCACATTTTACCCATAGAATGACTTCTGATGGTCTGCCAATGTGTCACGTTACGGTTTGTTTCCCCTATACACACGTCTGGTACCACTATGGCTTGCTTTGGTAGGGCAACTGGGTTAAACCATCCACTATATGAGTATTATGGGGCAACTCCGACCACATCTGTTCTGACTCTACTCACCATTCCTTAACCGTTTTGCGCTACATGCACTCGTAGAAGCGAAGATGCGGTTTGAATTAATGTAGAGAGGTTTTGGTTGTGGTCATGCTTTGACATTTGCTTTGAGGTTTACTCGATCTTTACATTTACTGACTTGTCTCTATGGGCGACGCTATTCGTGACCAATTAGAAACCCAACAAAATAGGTGGGTTCTTGACCAAATGCAACTCGATTTTTTCTTAACTAATCACCTAATTTTCAAACCGATCGTCATTTAACCTCGGTACTGTAATAATCAACGTGCGTTTAATTGTTGAGCTTGCGCGAGGCAGACAGAGATGTTTATCGGGCTAACGTTTCGAAGTCTTCGTCTTCATCAGAGCCGACCATCTTTTTCAATGGTCCACTAGTTACTCATTTCTTCTGTTATGGTTTTAATAATCATTCTTCTGTCCTATAATGAAAATAGCAGACATAAAATCGTTATCAGCCCATAAACCATATCTTGACGGCTATTTTCATCGATATTTTCACGCTGTTGAGCTTATTCTACCAGGTTTTACTTCTACTATAACTATAACTTTTTTCTTGACACTTTCAGTTTTCCTGATATTAATGCTTTTTAACATGTTGGAAACGTTCCACTAATTTTACATTATTCGTGAATTTTACGTTACCGTATTCCCTGCGTCACATCTTTGAACTAAATGGAAACATTTTTTGTCTATTGAACGAATTCGGATAGAAACCAACCAACACTATATGAAAAATGAAAAACATTGCGTTACAATAGGAAGATTGATGTGAAAATTTCTATGAAAAGTAGACTAGCTGATAGCACCCATAGGTCAATAACACGGCTGAGAGAAAGGCAAAACGAAGGACTCAACATGGTATAGTGGTGAACACGTTAACGCTCGGAAAGGATAATATCGTGTTCGGACCCCACTGCAGACGTCAGTGGTTTGGAAGCTTGAAAATATCTCAGCATCACTACGAAAATTAGATTATTTGATTTTACTAGAGGTTTTTTTTTCAAAAGAACGCTTTTGTAGATTTCCTTTATAGTTACAGGTGGGTAACAAACGAACTTTATGAGTCCTTAATTTTTCAAAAAATAGATGAGCGAAATTTGAGAATTGTGGGCCTTACCCATTTCACATCGACATAAATGTATATAAATGGACTAGCCAACTGTTGGGCGGTGTAGATGTGCTCACCAGACAAAGAATATTATGGAGATCATACTGAAATTCGATATAACTTCGCGTGACAAGGATCGAAAATAAAAATAAAAAAGGAAAGAATAAGAATAAGGAAGGATAAAAAACGAAATAAGAGCGAAGGTAGTTCCGGCTTTGATTCGATCCGGACCGCTCCCAAAACCCAGTGAACGCCTACGAGGATTCCTCTGATAGCCCTGAAGATTTTATCCAGTTGAAAAGTCTTTTTTCGACATTTTTTTCGTATTTTTATGACTCTTGATGTTTTGCAGCTGTGATAACCAGTGAATAAAGTGGCCGCAGGAAATGAGCAATATTCATTTGTTTCTAATTTTTCATTTGTTTTTCCTACAATTGTCAACGTACACACAATTCGGGTCCATTTCAGTGAACACATATCCATCACTTTCGATGATTCTGCTTAGTTCCTTCAAAATCTTGAAAGATTCTGGGAACTATATCAGACTGTGGTGGAATAAAAATGAATGACGAATGAAAAAGTGAACGATAATGAATTCCAAGCACAATGATGCAGACAGAAATATGAGCAAAACTCGGAACTTCAGATGGGGTTCGAACTCGCGACTATCTTTTCCAGGTGCTGGCCTGTTATTCACCATATCTACCTAGGCCCTTGCTTTGCCTTTCTCTCAGCCACTTTTCTACCCTAGCGGTGCCATCGGTAATATCCCACTAACAAAAGTGATCTGGAGAGCATAAATCGGCGTTGAACCCAGTAAAGCTGAATCTGCAGTCAAAATCACAATGTAATAACTTTCCTATCTTGCTCCCTGATATTTCCTGTTAACGGAAGATTGCTGTTGGCACCGCTACGGTAAAAAGTGGCCGAGAGAGTGGCGAAACAAGGACCTCGAAGGTGCAGCGGGCTTGAACACTTGACCCCCGATAAGGGAAATTACGGGTTTGAAGCCTCGGTGAGCTTAGCTTCCAATTTTACTCATACCTCAGCATTCTTGTGATCGTATTCTGCATAGTATCCTTCCGTGGAAAAACACTACGCAGTAAAGAAAACTTAAGACATTCATAATGGATTATTTTTCGTACTGTCGTTTACTAATTAAATTTTGTGATTTTTAAACTCTTGTCAGATAAAGGCTTTCATTCAAGTAATGAATAGAAAGCTTTAGATTTATTTCTCTTATTTACATCATGGCCTCAATCATTATTTGTGTTACGTCATTTATACTGCGTTTTTTCGAAGACATCAAAGAAATTTTCTCGACGGTCTCTAACCCATGTGGTCTCAATCTCACCATTTCATCCCTTCATCCGTCAACGATTCTTTTTTTTTACTACTTATATATCAGCAGGAAAAACGTGGCCATAGTCCTTCCACTTGGTTTTTTTCCCCTTCTTCACGGTTTCGTCAGCGATTTGTAACAGTAGCTCCCTCCGCCGTGACGTGGACGACGGCCGGATTACTCCGTGCCGGTGTCGGCGATCCACGGTGATTAATTTCACGGTTCTTCATGTGTTCAGCAACAGCTGTTATTGTTTTCTGTTGCCTAGCGGCGATGACCAGATCATCATTCATTTTTTATTAACCGTTATTGAGACATTTATCACGTCCTAATACTTGTCTGATACAGAAATCAGGAATTCCACTCCGGAATTTACGGTTATATACAAAGATGTACACAAATGTACACAAACACACACACACACACACACACACACACCTATGCAGACACGCGTGCAAATATATTACGTACGTACATATATATGCTCGTACATTTATGCACACGTAGGTATACACCTTTTTTATACTAATCAACATATTCTATAAAATATGATCGGGCAGGTGATGAACATCATATCTTCAAACAACCACCGTAGATTTCTTTTCATTACATTTCAATTCCTGCTATCTTCTTTATATGATGAAAGTTGTTACCACAGCGTTTCTTAACTAACAATAGCTGACGCCTCGGGGTTTTACACTTTTCGGAGCCAGTAAAAGTTGAAATCACATGCATTTTACTCAGCCATACAGTAGAATGGACATCTGGCCTATTCAATGACTTGTGACTGCCAATATATCGAGTCAATGGTGCCATCCTCCCAGACAAGTCTGGTACCAACTCTCTGCCCACGGATGAGTGAGGGCAGGTCTTGATTACCGCGGAGCGCGTGCTGGAACTAACGACCACGTGTTTAGTGCAGGGCACCTCTACCAAATTGACTGCATGCGGCGTTTTGGCAAAGTATTTGGAGCACTGTATTAAATTCATGCTAATCTTCCTAGTTATTCACCCATTTAGATGTTGTATTTTTATTTTCCTTTCGATGTCTGAGCCTGATCAGCTAAACAAGTACCAAAACGGTGATGCACCAAATGCATGCATGTTCTTTATGTTGCTTGGGCAAACGAATCCCACCAGGCAGCACTGGAGCGCGCTAGGAACAAAGGTTCTAACAGGAGCACTACTGGTTCTAACACGAGTCAATCAGCTGTGGATTTTAGATTGTGGAGGTGATTTTATCATCCAACGAAATAGTTAGTCTTTTGAAGAGCATGCAGAGTTCGCCTCCATTATTTTTGTCCGCTCTGGAAGCGATCATCGTTTCTGGGGTATGCATAATGAATCCGTGTGAACTTAGATTCTGACCACACTTACGAACAAAGCCGAAAGCAATTTCGCCCCTGTTACAACAGCAATAAATTTCTTATGCTTTCAAGAGAAGTGTTGACTCCTAAGAGCGTTTTTCGAGATTCTGCCTGCGAGTATCAAGCGATATAGTAGGCATAGATAACAAGTGAAAGACGATAAGATTTCTCAACCTTGATGAATTTCATTTATGAAATGAAGAAATTAGTAGAAGGCGGTTTTTCGTGCACCATAGAAAAGTCTATCCACAGAGAAATTTCTAAAAACCATTGACCATAGTGGAAACGGAGGGCAAGGTGGCTTTGGGTTAAAGTTCAAACCAACGGGAAGACCTGTTTCACCTATATGCCACCGTCAAACCGACATTCTGTATTTTTGCAACGAACGCCTTTACTTTTTTTCAGAAATCGGGTCGTTTTTTGCTTCAACTCTTGTTCTATTAACCATTTTTTATTGCAAGTTGCTACGTACTGAGGTTCGTCTCGTTGCGTAACATCGGTTAATACGAGCTACCAGCTTACAGCTGTTTTCTACGGAGCAGCGCTTTTTTCCAAACAGTAAATAACAATCGTCTACCAGTTTCCTTCGTTATCCAACCGTTCAATGAACACCTGACTCCGGTTTCTCGTTGATTGATTTCACGATTTCTCACATGTTACAGTTTGTGATGTAGATGATTTTCTTCTTCATGTGGAATCTTCTCTCAGCGTGAACTCCTGCTATGAATTTAGTTCAAATTTTGTCCAAAACAATTTGGATATTCAGTCAGATAAATTCCGCTGATGGGTGATTGTTCATGGCACTGATCGATTGAACTAACTGAGAGACAGGCAAAACGAAAGATCCGCATAGTGTGGTGGTGAACGTGTTACCCTCCGGAAAAGGTTATAGCGCGTTCGTTCCCCATCGCAGACACCTGCGATCCGGAGTTTTGCAAATGTCTCAGCATTATTGAAATAAGATGATTTTTGAAAAGAATATGGAGTTTAAAAGACAGTGTTATAGTGTCACTGTAAAAGTGTTATAGTGTAACAGTGAGGTTATAGTGTCACTGTAAAATATAAACGTGCTAGGAAAAACGGAGGACTTGAAGAAACTGTGTGAACATACGAGGACTGATTTTTTCTCCAAAAGGCCGTATTTAGACTGGTTATTAATGTTTCGGTAATTATTCTTATCGGATAAGTGGTACATAGTTTAAATCTTCTAAATTCAGTCCATGGAAGGCGATCGAACAAAGCGGTTTTCACGTTAGTTTACTTCCGTCCGCAGGCGCCCATCCGCGGAAAACCTACCGTATGGTGGCGTGTCGTTCGAAAATTGTCGTCATCAATATTTACAGCGTTGTACACAGTTTTTATCATGCAATGATATATGCTACACATTCATTGTCCTGAAAAAGAGCCCAATTGCCATGTAAACCGGAAAACTCGTCCGGTTTAATGAACAAGTCCTGCAAATTTCAAGTCTTTTTTCACGTAGGCATTATATTTAGCCTTGTTTTTTTCTCAATTTTATACTTATCGGGCAGACACAATCTCCTTAATAACTTAAAAACTGACTTTGATTAGTTCTCGGTACCAATATTTAATAATTTTCTGCATGATTCAGCTAACACAGTTAGAAACACTTCGTAACTTTCTAGAGGAAGTGTATAAAGATGATTCTGTTTCCAAATTTTCATCTAGCTGGTATGGAACCTTTAGCTTTTTAATCACTAAAGCTTGAAAATTTTCTAGAGCTTTTCAGTTTTATTTTCTATAAATGTAATACATTTTCTTGAGGTAAGCTACTGCTGCGTGTGTCAATCTATCCAGAAGCAAACAAGAGAAAATCAAAATAAACACAGAAGCAACACGCTGTAATATAGCTTCGGTAATGTTATTTCAGTATCGTTTTCCCTACTTTATTTATTTATTTATTCGTCTATTTGTTGATTTATGCGACTTGGCCTCACATATTATGGTGGCCCTAGGACTTCTTCGATTCGATTTGTTCTCTCGCATCCACATTAGCGAAGGTTTTCGGATTCGTTGGTGGGTTCGGCTGCTGCTTGCTTGAGTTTGTCTCCTTTGCTACAAACACTGAATGCTAGTCGAATTGATTTGACCTGGAAACCTGAGTTAGCTATGTTAGTCGTCGCCATGAGTGATCGCGCTTTTGTGGATCGGGCGAAGTTTTTCCTACACAGATCTGCTACCAATATGTCGAAAGCAGGACTGTGGGAAGCTTAGTCAGATCGGGACGGGATAGAGTTGGCGACCATGGGTATATTGTTCCACGATATCTCTAACTACTTCACTTTCCCAGTTCTTCCGTGATTACTTGTGTTTTTCTTCTTAACTATTTCTTGCATGATTGCTTGGATATATTGATGGCTTGCCTCTAGTGGTGGTGCGGACCCCATCATAAATTCCATTCTTTTGAATCTTGTGCAGTTATCGTTTATGTTGGTGGTCCGCTTCAAATACGGTGAGGTCTACGAAGTCCATTCCGAATCCCTAAAAGAGTTTCCATTTGCAGATGGTTCACTTTAGACACGAACAGTCCGCCTATCTTTTGGGTGCCTTTCGAAAAGGATGTTTGCATTCTCTTGTAGTCAACTCCACTCTTCTTTTTGTCTGTCTGTCATCCGTTGTTCGTCAATAGAAATTCTCCTGGATATCTGAGATGGAATAGGTTTCGAAGAACTGAGCTACGCATTCCGAGTAAGCATCGTTCAAGCGCTATATTAGTAGTGCGCAATATTTTTATCCGGTTAATTATAGCCCGTCTTTCCGCTGCACAGCAGAGCGATAGAAGGACTTTTGAATAGAAAAGATGAGCTCTCAGTTTTGGGTCCGTTAGTTGGTTTGTGGCTTCATCGAGAGGCGAAAATGGCGGTACACGCTGCCCTCCTTCTTCTGATTACTTCCTCCTTCATGTTTTTCTCCATATTCACTGGATGTCCATGGTACACCTACGAAGTGGTCTCTGTAATCAGAAAACAATCCGGTTCTTATATGATTAATGCTTTTAAATTTACTACAGTCCTACATTAGGCAGTATGGAATCTGCCAGCTGCAGTGCAATTGTGATTTGGGATAACACAAAGTCTGAAACGACCATTAGACACCAATCAATCAACATTTTCTAAAAAGATTTCTTTTACATCAGGATCATGTCCTCTCCTCAGATTACAGGACGAAAATATTACACGCATAGCAACATAACTTATTTCCCGAACACATCATGACCATTTCTTTGGGAGATGTCCAAACTTTGTACACATTCAGTACGTCAACAAATGCTAACACATACATTACTTCAGTATGCTGTTACTGCTAGGATTATGGTGATGTTGCACGGGTCGATTTTTACGAGTTACACCGTTCCCACTGTCTCGTTGGGTGTGGCCGTGTCAGCAACAAGCTATGACAGCTAGTGATGTTAATACAGTATGACATTACCTATGGCAGTTGAACTCGTCCTTTTCAAAACATCCCATTGCCTTCTAGAACCTTCTAGTCGTTTCAGTCGCTGTTCTTCAAAGTTCTCATTTGGATTTCGAACTCTGAATCTTTGATTGAGTTTCCTCTCATTGGCCTGTTTATTGTTTTCCCACAATATAAGAAATATTTGATTAGGCAGAAAATAGGAACACTAGAGGATGATGAGTAGAGCAAAGCCTGCTTTAAGTTATGATGGACAAATTACCATTTTTACTATTACTAAGAGATGAGCGAAACGAAGGACCCGCATGGTGTGGTGGTGAACCCGTTAGACCTCGGCAAGGATAATAGCGCCATACCTGCGGTCCGGAGTTTTGCAAGTATCTCAGCACCGTGGCGGTTGTATT